ACAAAACAAAGTGACTAATCTTTTAGGGGTTTCCCCCTCCCAGGTTCTTGTATGAGCAACTAAACCTATAGACCACAAAGTCCCACACTGTCGTTTTCCCTCATGCTGCCCTTTTATTCTGATGGCTCCACGTTGTACTTAAGGAAACCAATACCTTCCAGAATGTGGTGGAACTGGCGCCACCATTAAGAAAAGGAGGTTACTGGACTTTTTAGTGTAGCAGCAAAGTGGGGCTATGTTGATTACTTACACTTATGTAGTCTACTGCTGGGCATCTGCAAGAATCATCACCTTGCACTCTCAGAAAGTTTTCTACCTCTGAATATGTGGGTCTGAAAGTGCAGGAAGTAGAAATTTTAACAAAAAACAACCAGTTTGGATGATCACAAATATGTGGTAGATCTGGCATATGCAACTAAAAAGAATGCATACCCTTAATCACTAGGCTATTTGTCTACCTACAAATATGTGTAGAGGCCTAAATTTTTTAGCAAAAGTCTGAGGGTCTAATTTGTAAATTGCTGTTGACCACAAAAGAGTGATTAGTTTCAAAAGAGAACTGTTTTGCAACATGGTGCAAAAAAGAGGAGGGGATAAAGGAAATCATAAAAATTAACATTCATGACATTAAATCCCAGTTGTTTTTATAGCATGTTGCACATGGCAGCTTGGAAAATAATTCTCCCTCATTAAGCTTGTAGAAATTCTATTTGATTTATAAAGTTTTGACTCTGACTGTATTTACCATTGATAACCTGTTTTTCTCTCACCTCTTCCTCCAACTCTTAGCCAGAACTACTTTCCAATGACTTCTTTCTACCACACTTCTCCTCCTCAGTGTAAGAGGATGAAAGCACATGATGGTATTTGAAGCAAGAAGATTGAAGAACTGCTGCCTGCTAACCCAAGGCTTGGATTAGTACAATCTTTTTAGCTTTTTACTGTGAAGTTCAGGGATCACAAATGTTGTTTCATCCATGGAACTTTTGCAACTTGTTATTTTCATACCTGAGATCTGGGGGAAAGTTTAGTCTAAATGGTTTCTAAAATAGCCATTAGCTCAGGAGATACACAGCCAATGCATGTGACAGGAGCTTTGCCCACACTACCCTGTTTTTTGGTCACGTAGTTTTTTTTTTTTTTTTAATTTAATGACGTCATTTTAAAACTTTGCTTTTTGGGAATGATTCCCCCCACTATTTTTCTATATAGGGTCAGGAAAATGTATAAATAATTTCTGGGCTTGGGTGCAGAAGATATACATGCTGACAAACAGAAATCTAAAGTGTTAAAGGAGACTGTCCTTTGAAGAAACTTTTCCAGGCTTGAGTTCTATATTTCTGGATTTGACTCAGTAAAAAATCTTTACTGAGTACCTAGTATATGCCCAGCATTCTACTGCACTATAGGGGTTGGGGGACTATAGTCCAGTTGGGATACAGGAAGGATGGAGAGAGAATACATATAGTTACAGCACAAGGCAGAATAAGTTATAGTATTCAATGGGCTGTGGAATATTGTGGAGGAAGAGAGCATTTTTAATTAGTGGAGTCAGGAAATGCATTACCAAGGTGATGGCATTCTTGCTGGGTCATGAAGGATAGATAGGATTTTGGCAGGTGAGGAACCATTCTAATGCAAGAGAACAATAATAGAGAAAAGGGTAGGAGCAGGGAAATAAAGGGCAGCTGGGTTTATACTGTGATTACTGAGCTGCAGGCACACAGTTGTCCACGCCCTCCTCCTTGAACCACTTTTTAAATATAAATTTATTTATTTATTTATGTTTGGCTGTGTTGGGTCTTCATTGCTGAGTGTGGGCTTTTCTCTAGTTACTGTGAGCGGGGGCTACTCCTTGTTGTGGTGTGTGGGCTTCTCACTGCAGTAGCTTCTCTTGTGGCAAAGCATGGGCTCTAGGTGTGCGGGCTTCAGTAGTTGTGGCTCGCGGGCTCTAGAGTGCAGGCTCAGTAGTTGTGGCACATGGGCTTAGTTGCGCCGCGGCATGTGGGTTCTTCCCAGACCAGGGCTCGAACCCATGTCCCCTGCATTGGCAGGTGGATACTTAACCACTGTGCCACCAGGGAAGCCCTGAACCACTGTTTACTCCAGAGCCACAGCATCCTCCTGACTCTGACAGTCTTACCGGCCATTGCTTCTCAGTCACCTTTCTTGGGTGCTCTTCCTCAGCCTGAGCTCTGCATGTCGAAAGGCTTCAGCATCAGTTTTTTAGCTTTCTTCACCTGAGTTACTATCATTTAAATATTAAATATTTAACATCTACATGCCAGTAATCTCCAAATAAGTAACTTTCCCCATGCCCCATGCCCTGACCTCTAAGCTGTATATCAAATTGTCTACCCAACATCTTCACTTTTGATGGCTAAATATCAGGTTTCTTGATTTTTTGCTTCCCCTCTGCTGAAATCCTGCTCATCCACCAGTCTTCTCTATCTTAGTTAATGGGCCTGCCATCCACCGAGTTGCTTAGGTGTCCCCCAAACTAGATGTTATTCTAGATATAGCCTTTTCTCTCACCTTCACCATATAATAATGAGTATTTTGAGTCCACCTCTACCCCACCCCAAATAAGTGACTATTGTTTTTTGTTATAAGTTTTATGGTAGTAAGATTTGCCTCTAAATGTACATGAATTATCTTGATAAAAATAAATATTAAATTAAAATATTACTTTCACAGAGATTGTCTCTTGATTCCTTTCCAGAAATTAGCTCATAAGTTGTCCAGAAGAGCCATGTATTCTTAAGTTTGCATGTGTATTGGAATTTATTTTTCCCATCTTCTAAAAGAATCTTCATATTTTCTTGCCTTTCAGACCCAGCTGCTATGGATTAGATACACAAATACATGTCCCTGTGTATGTGTTTCATAGTAAAAATAACAATAATGATGAAAACGATAGTATTACTAATACTATTAATAATTAGCACCTATTAAGACCCACAGGCACTGCAATAAGCACTGTACATTCACTGATGGTTTAAACCTCACAGTGACACTATGGGATGGATACTGTTACTGTCCTCATCTTAGACCTGCCCAAGGTCACACAGCTGGGAAGAGGCAGAGACTCAGGACATGGACCTATTTCTGCCAGACTCCAAAGCCCATGTTTTTAACCAAAAGTAATTTAAAATTCTGAACCACTGAATAGAGGTAGATGCAGCTTCTAGTGCAAAGAATATTTTGGCTGCCACACTCAGGAAGATATAAAGATATAGCTCTAGAAAGATGACACAGTAAAAAAAAACAGACCTCTTTACATCACCTTTCCATAGGCCTCATGGTGTATTCTTACAAGGTAACTTCATCTTTGGGGAATGCTGAAAAATTGTCATTCATTAATGTTTTTTCCTCTAGCATTCATCTCTTCTCAGTCTCTCCAATGGACAACTTTACTGACAGCAAAAGTGTAAAAAGAGGGGCTTCCCTGGTGGCGCAGTGGTTGAGAGTCTGCCTGTCGATGCAGGGGATGTGGGTTCATGCCCCGGTCTGGGAAGACCCCACATGCTGCGGAGCAGCTGGACCCGTGAGCCATAGCCGCTAAGCCTGTGCGTCTGGTGCCTGTGCGTACCGCAAAAAAAAAAAAACAAAAAAACAAAAGGCTATTATCATTCAAGACATATCCTCATCAATGGTCACATTCTGTGATATATTCTCCTTCTATCCAGCATTATCTGTACCCCTATTTCTTCACTCTGGGCACAAGTGCCATTATTGTCTTTATGTAGAAACTGCCTCAGGAGAGCCTGCTGGACACAGAAGTTCTTTGATTGATTGACTGATTTTGTTTGAGGCTTTAAATTCTTCCCTGGAAGGCTGATTACCCCCTGTGCCTTCTTTCCTTGGGTTTTGGGCCATTCTGCAGTTGGAATAGTCTACTTTGTGCTTCTTGAAGATATCTTTGGCTCTGAGAGCCCCCTGTAAAAGTATTGTCGAATTTTAAGTATGGACTTTGGAAGCAGACGAGTTGGCTCTGCCACCTACTAGTTGTGTGGTATCGTGAAATGTCTTAACCTCTTTCAGCTTTAGTTTCCTTATTTGAACAGGGCTGTTATTCATTATTTGAACAGGGAAGTGATTTGATTTGAGAGAAAGCCAGGAGATAATATTAGTAGAAATTGTTGATGAATTGGGTGAGGCAGAGCGGGGAGGCAAGGATGACTACCAGTTTTCTATCTTGACTAATGGGTGGTGATATCTTTTACTGAGGAGGAGATAAGAGAAGCGATGTGTGTGTCTGTGTGTGTGTGTGTGTGTGTGAGACAGAGGAAGAGAGAGACAGAGAGAGAGAATAATTTAGGACATGAGGATTTGAGATACTTTCTAGATATATAAGTGGAAATGTTGAGTTAAAGCTTTAATGGTATATAGGCAAGTGATCTGGACTGCTAATAGAGATTTCAAAGTCCTTTGCATAAAAAGATAATTGAAGCTATAGGAGTAGATGAGATGCACCTCTGAAAATGAGCAGAGAAGGGAGCTTAGTGTGAGCCCTGAGAACTTCTCTATTTAATGGTCTCTAGAGAGAGTAGAGGATTCTTCCCAAAAATTAGCTTTTATGATACCACACTCCCTCCTTTTCCTCTTACCTCTCTGGACATCAATTTTTTTTTTCAGTGAAGAAAAAGATTATGTTGCCTACTTAGAGTGAGGGGGCCTCAACAGAGATGTATAGGTTTAAAATAATTACTGAGGAGAGTAGGAAGGAATGTTGATTAAGTGAAAAGATTGAGATATACTGAAGTCTTAAGATTGGAGACCATATGTTTGTTGGGACATAAATCTGAATGGTTTAACATTTTGCTTAGGAATGCTCAGCCTTTTAGGTACCAAGATGGCATTGATCCTGTGTTGGGAGTTTTCTAGGTGAGGGCAATACAGGAAGAGACATATTTGGATTTGAGGGTGCTGGTGGTGAGTAGGTCAGATAGCCAACTACTTGTAGTCTGCTTGGGGGAAGGTGGATGGACTCTGAGGAAATGAAGACCCAGGAGGCTGGAGGACTAAATGAATTTGAAGAGCAGGTGTGTTCAAGCAAGCGTCCTGAGAGCACCGGAGGAAAGACAGCTGGGTCAGAGAATGCAGTGTTTGTAGTTAAAATTTTTGGTGTGGAACCATTCTGGGTGATGACAAGTTTCAGGATGTACCCTGGCAGTGTGGGGAAGTCTAAGTGGAGTGGAGGTGAGAATAGTTATTGTGTATTTGAGGTCAAGGAACAGTAGATTGAAGGTATTGGGTGGATTGCTCCCAAAGACACTGAAGTTTTCTGGAATATAATGGCAGAAGTTGAGTTTGAGGGGAGAAGAGGAGTGTTATGTCTTAAGGAACGTGACCAGGAGGTCAGTAGATGATAGAAATACAGAAGTGTACAAAGTGGTATTGTCAGATGTCAAAGGTACCAGGATGGAACTGTGGTGGTTCTAAAGTGGCATTAAGGAGTCAATAAATTTTCACCCCTCTCCTTAGTTCTATGGTAGGTGAAATATACAGCATAATGTGGGGAGATGCTGTGTTTATTGGTTCTTTTTCTTTTACATAAAGGAAGAAGATTGCAGAGGGTCTAGCGGTTTGAGGAGAGAAGCCAAAGAGAAGAAGTACAGAGCATTAAGGCGTTAAGAACAGGGGAGGTAAACTGACTTTCTTTTGGCCTGTGAGGATTATAGGAATGGAAGACTTAATTGGAATTAATTGACCACAGACATTCCAAAGGTAGGATTAGTCATAACAAAGATGTCTGAGGGTCTGAGGTGGGATCTGGCCCAGTCATGTGTGGGTGAGCTCACTGTGTGGGAACCGGGATCATAAAGCATCTGAACATGGGACCTCTCCTCTATGCAGGATGGAGGATCAGACCTCTTTTCCCTGGGGTGGTCTCAAGATGTGTTGAGTGGCCACATGCAGGATAGGTGTCATTTAACATCTGAGTTCTAGCCTCACGATAAACCTGGAAGGTGGGCACAGCAATAATGATAATAATGATAATAAAATATTTGCCTTTCTTCTATCCCTGGAGTTGTGAAGATTCAATACAATCATTTGTGGGAAAGCACTTTAACAACTGTAATCACTATGTGTATGCTGAGTTTTATTGTTACCCACACCTTTGATGTATTTCTCTCTGTGCTTTTCCATGTATCTGTGACATATTCCCTAAGATAATAAGGGCTTCCCTCTGACAAAGCCAAGATTCTTTATTTATTGTGTTAGGTTGGCACCTGGGCTGATTCTCTTTAGTGTTTATGTAGTCTGGATGTGGACTGGCATCTTTCCCTGGACTCTGAGTATCTTCCTCTGCAGCTTCTCATGGCTAGAAGTTCTATCTGTGTCCTTCTATTACAAAGCCCAGACTCGTAGGCCACCCACCAAGTTCCTCACTACAGTCTGAAGGATGCCTCCAGATCCTGGCTCATTTGCAGAACAGAATTGACTGACACACCCTAAGCAGGGATGCCAATCTAGTCTAGTTTTCCAGATACTCCTTGATGATTTGATAGAAAGGCATCCAATGGAAAGTGGTACTAGACTCTGAGAACTACAGCTTTACAATGTCCAAAGTCTTCTAGACTTTCTTGAAGAGAGGCAGATATGATCCTAATCAAGAAAAAGGCATTCCTTGATTAATACCCACTGCCTCCCTTTGAAATTTAACCAAGACTGTACTTGACTTTTTAGATGTCAGATTTTCTTGGAAGAAGAAAGAAGCTCCTGTGATGGAATAGACTATTTTTCTGTGTGTCGGGGGGGGGTGTTAATTCCCAAGTAATTTGTTTGCTTCATTCTATCATCACTTTTCTACTGACAGTAATTTTTTTCTTTTTCATTACTTGGGATACAGAGACTGTTCTGCAGATGGACTAATGAGCTGCACCTACTTCAATTGTTCAGCGCAGTATAACACACTTGGTCAACTATTAAGAGGGGCACAAATTATTTTTAGTAAAATGTGAGTCAGTCTTGGGAGAAAAACTAAGCTATACGTTTCCTTTACTCACTTAGTTTACAACACTCCAGAGAACTGACTAGAAGGAGAAGGTATTCTTCTATTCAGTATCTGTTCGTACCCCATCTCTTCATACTGGGCAAAAGGGCCATTTTATAGACTTAATGTAGGAACTGCATTAGGAGCACACTCTGGACACAGAAATCTCTGAACTATCACTGATTTTTTTTTAAAGGCTTTTTTAGGCTTTCCCGGAAGGCTAATTACCCCAGTGCCTTCTTTCTCTGATAGCTCATACTGAATTCTCTCCAGCTTTCTGATTTTATCCATTTGAATCAACCCCAAGCTGCTGTGGTCTCTCCCGTTGCGGAGCACAGGCTCCGGACGCGCAGGCTCAGCGGCCATGGATCACAGGCCCAGCCACTCTGCGGCATGTGGGATCTTCCTGGACCGGGGCACGAACTCGTGTCCCCTGCATCGGCAGGCGGACTCTCAACCACTGCGCCACCAGGGAAGGCCAACCCCAAGTTACGTCTCTAGAATTTGTACCATCTGGGGGATGAAGGGTTGACATCTACCAAGTAAACATTAATTTGTTTAAATTCTTGTTCAACTTACATTTTCTGCTTTGGTACTTCTACTTTCCTGGCTTCTTGAGAATTTCCAAAAACCTACGCTTATCTTTTGTCATGTCACTTTGAGCTCCATGGGGTGTCCCCATCAAAGCACAGGGAGGAGAGGTTTTTTTGTTTGTTTGTTTGTTTTTTTACAGTCCCCCTCTGCAGAGCCAGCTTCTGGAAGAAAAACTCCAATTGCTAAGATAAACACATTTTTTGATCTTTCTTTTTTTTTTTTTTTGGTAGGCCACTGGAAATTTAATACAGGAGTTTTTTTTTTTGTAGAATTGTACAGTCTCTAATATTCAGATGGCGACTAGCATTATTTTTCTAACTGTAAGAAAATGGATCTGTAATGTATCTTCTATTCAGGAGACAGGACTTAATCATTGTCATCTTTGGTACTTAGTGGTGCTGCCAAGGCAGTGTGGTCAGAATGAGGATGGAATGTTAAATAAAAGAAACTTGGGAGAACATGAGCTCTGTTGAGTCATGTAAGCAACTATCTCAGCTTCCTCACCTAACACAGCACCAAAATGTGTTACTGCAATTACAGAGTGCTGATTTAAAGGGACGATGAAAAGGTAAATACACAAACACAAGCAGCTATGCATCTAAGAAGGATGTGGAGAGCTGAGATATGAAGGCAGGATAAAGCATCTCTTTTAAACTCTATAGCCCGCAGCGGTAAGCATGGTGCTGGCCCCATAGCAGTGGTTCCATAATGTTTGTTGATTGACCTGTTTTTTGAAAGAATACTATAATGTACAAAGCAAAGAGCCCCCAAATGTCTTTATAAATCTTAAGAAAACAGGCCTTTACTTTCCATATTCAGCTACAAAACACAAGTTTGAATTCAGACTATATTTTGGGTTGCAGGTAAAGAAGGTAAAATGAATCAGTGAAATCTGAAAATATTCAAAGGCTGTCTTTTCTCCCCAATTCTTCTTTCTCTCATTTCCCTCTTCCTATTTCAGGAATCTGAATTTCCTTTTGTTTCATCAACCTATTGTTTTCTGACTCCAACAAGACAACCATAATTTATTGAGCAGGAGCCATGACTTGTACTTTGCAGTCCTCAAGCATATCATAGTCCAGTGCCTGGTGCATAAGAGGGAATTACTATATATTGAAATGTTAGTTTTGGTTTCACTTTTTCTTTCTTTCCCAGATATTCCCCCTTTTTGCTATCTGTGTAAGAGAAATTTCTCTTAATTCTCCCCAAATTTAATAAGACTACTCCATGCTCCCATTTTCTTGTTCACATCTGTGAACAAGACAGAAAGGATCCTGGCCCTCATGGACTTTACAATCAATCCAGAAAGGCAAACACTGAACAAATAACTATAGGTGTGACAAGTGTTAGGGAAGGAAAAGTTCTAGATGCGAGGAGGTATAATTGAGTCCAGGAGATCGTGGGAGGTATTCCCGGAGAACTGTGAGCTGAAGGAAAACAAGATTTGACTAGATGAAACGGAGGGATCATAAAGGCAGTGAGAGAAGTGCGTTCCAGGGAGACGGGACAGTATGCACCAAGCCTGGATTTGAGAGAGAGCACGATTCGTTCAAAGACCCTGAAAGGTGGAGCTTCTAGAGCAGGAGCGTGAGGTGAACTCTTAAGAGGCCTCTATTGGACTCTTTTTCAGTGGTGTAGTGGGTGGTCTCTAAGTGGATTTGCAATCACAATAATATCAGTATTACAACACCAAATGAGCTCTTTTGGTAGCTGTAGATGCTTTTGGAATTTGTTTGTTTGTTTTCCCAGGTCATGGTCAGTGAGTCAAGCAAATGAAACATCATTGAGCTTAGATAGTATATCCCACTAAATTCCTTGGTTCCTTAAGTTCCAAGGCTGGCAGTAAACTGGTGGTCAATCTATTAATTGAGGTCTAAGAAGTAATAGCCACACCCAAGTCAGTACTGCAACCCATTAAGCTAAGCTTTTCCTAGGCGACAGTGAATCATGGAAATTGTTCCCGGGACCCGTGCTTTGGTCTTGCTTGCTGGTAGCTATAGATGTCATCAGAAGTTAATTTCCACATTCCTATAACCAAGACAAGAGCAATGGCCTGCCTTCCTCTTTGAACATTACCTTTCTTTTCCTTTTGTAAGCTTTAATTTTCCCTGTATAAAAATAATGAGGTAGAATATAGGTGGGGCCCATAGAGCGATAACCCTACACGCAGCTTCCTGTCCTGCGGTTACCTAATGCAAGGTTTTGCACCCTAGAGTCCTCTGGCATAATAACCTCTGGCTATGGAAGATGAGCGGGAATATTATTAACAGGTTCCCAAAGCACACAGAATTTTTTCTCAAATTAACCACCATCGCTGAGGAGTATTGATAGGCAACACAAATTGTATATTCAACAAACTCTATTAAAAGTATTATCCAGTATTCTCATCAAAGAACTCCTAGGAAAATGAATGCAATACTGAGATATACCTATAGAATTGTACGGGTATTGGGGAGCATATTTTCTAATGCCCAGATGCCTCAGATTTAGTGGTGGTGGAATCCCATTAATTTTGTGAAAACCAAATAAACATTTGTCCTAAAAATGGTTAGAAAGCAGGATCAACTCTGCTTTATGAATGTACAAGACTGTAAAATGATTTGCTATTGTCAGAGAGTTAGAGTGAGGTGTGGGAGGGAGATGCATTATTTTAAATTGTGTTTTAGGTGACAGAATGGGAGTCCATAATGTTCTAGTTCAGAGGAACTAGATTTTATTGATTCATTGATTGATTCATCAAAATTTATTGAATGATTGCTATCTTTCAGGCACTGGGGACATAAAGATGAATAAGGCATGGTTCCTCACCTCCAAATGTTAATACTCTTTGGAGAAGACATGTAAATAAATGAATACTATACAATATGACATATATTCCAGTCCAGGTAGGTAGGAAGGCCTAAGTACAACTGAGTGATCAATTTCACTTGAGTGGAGGGTTGTAATCAGGGAAGATTTCCCAGGGAAAGTGATGTATTGTTCAGTGAGTAAGCATTTGTCAGACAGACAAGGAAGAATAAGGGCATCCCAGACAGAGGGAAGAGTGTATTCAAAGGCAAAATGACATTTGACAATAGAGTACATGGAGGAAACTACAACTAGGAAGTGTGAGGGACACCATGAAGTGCTAGTTACATCATGGCCATGGCAGTGGAAACGTAACAAATTTCTTCCTTTGGGGGTACAGAGAGGTACTAACATTCCTCCAAACAGTTCCTATATTTTTATAATCTAAGATAGACATTAATAGGATCTCATAGAAGCAGAAATCAATGCAAATGTTAGTGATCTTAAAGGCATTTTGTCCAGTGTAGTTGTTGATTTTACCTAACTCAGAGGACTTGTAGAGGAGACAGGCCTAGAGTAGCTGGCAGCCATCTTGTGACACATGGAGCCTGAAAGCACAGCCAATATAGAGGAACATAGCAGACAGACAGGAGAAGATTAGATCCTGGTGACATGATGCAATCCTTGGTTTAAGACCCATCTGAAACATACCTACTTCTGGACATAAGTCAGTTTGAATTTTCTGCTTAAGTCTGTTTTTTTTTTTTTTTTTTTTTTTGGTCAGTTGTAACCTAACAGTTACATCTGGCATCTTCATTTTACAGTTCAGGAGACCAATATCCAGCATGGCAAAGTGACTTGCTATCAAGGGGCTAGTTAAAAATTGAGACTTGGGCTTCCCTGGTGGCGCAGAGGTTGACAGTCCGCCTACCGATGCAGGTGACGCGGGTTCATGCCCTGGTCCGGGAAGATCCCACATGCCGCAGAGTGGCTGGGCCCGTGAGCCATGGCCGCTGAGCCTGCGCGTCCGGAGCCTGTGCTCCGCAACGGGAGAGGCCATAGCAGTGAGAGGCCCGCGTACCGCAAAAAAAAAAAAAAAAAAAAAAAAAAAAAATTGAGACTTGAACCCAGGTCTCTTGACTCAGGTCAGGCTTAGGAATATCCAGCATTTAAAAATTATCTGCATGTGATAAACATACATGTACTTAGAGATCTGCTTTGCAGTAACCACATATTTGAGAGTACAATTGAGTTTATTTTAAAAATACATTTCTACATGACAATGTTTTTAGAAAGAGCATGGGACCAAGACTCGTTGGTTCATGGCCCACTTTTGCCACTAATTACCTTTGTGACCTTGGGTCTATCTCTTTGGGCCTTAGTTGTTCACGTGATATAATTGTCTCTAAATCTTCCTCCATTTCTATGGTTCTAAGCATAAGTACACCGAATTTTCAATGATCCATTGTGGATCTTACACATGGCTCTATTCCCTGGGGAAAGCTTCCTCTTGAACTGTTTTGATATTATTGGGTTCAGCTTCACAGATACTTAACTGAACACCAATTATGGGCTAGGTGTTGCAAAAGGGAATGATTATTTCTAATCAGTATTACTTACTTACTTTTGTATTCTCAGATGCAATTTGATATTGTTTGCTGCTCCGAAGTATTAAACAATGCTTTCTAATCCAGGGAATGTGTGATTCCAAATAGGAGTGGGATTAGACAGAGGGATGATCTGTCACTGTACATCTGTTGGAGAGGTGCTGCCATAGTGTCCAGCAGTCAGAGGGAGGAATAGAGCAGAGTCCTGAGAAGTACAGCAGATTGGGAACCACATATGCGTACAAAGGCACATTCCCGCCCAAACAGAATTGGATTTGGATCGTTAGTCTTCAGGAGATCTGCACCACAGTGATCACTATGGATAACTTTGGGTCTTTTCAGAGTAGTTACCTCTGAGGTTAATAACAACTTGCTAATATTTTTCTTTATAAGACATTATGAGCACTTAATTAATGCTTGATGTATTCTTTTGGGTAATCTTTTTGTAATATAACAATTCATTTGACTCACGGAAGTAATTTTCTAGCTTCTATAAAGACCAGCTTCGGTCAGTTTCTTAGCCTGTCTACATTTGAACAATTCCATTTGCTGAAGAATGACTCTGGAGTTCCACGACCTCACTTGAGGAGTCTTGGAGAGGAAAAAAGATGCTGGCTCTGCAGTTTGCTGGAGCCAGATTCCATTTCTTCTCTAACCATTTTTGCCTGTCTGACCATGTACACGTGACTTAAGCTCTCTGAGCCTCAGCTTTGTCATCAGTCAAATGGGAATAATGATATCTCCCTCAAAGTACTGCCCAACACGGTGATCATTTACAGCATAGCTTGAATAAATGTTATTAGGTAATATAGTATTAGTGAGGTTTTCTTGGGACTGTGTTCAAGTGATACATAAGGTTCCAAAGAAGAAAAATGGCAGGAGCAGGAGACACTCTAACTTGTAAGGTTGATACACAGTATGAAGATGCACCATAGTTTGATAATTTCATTTGACCATAAGATAAAGCGGTAGAATTTGTCCTAGTTAACTACTACCTTGCTTTGTAACTTGGGGAAAAGTATTTAACTTCTCTAGACTTCCACTTATTCATAGTTAAACTGAGGGTAATATTGCTGTCTTATTTCATAGAAACTGAAAGGAGATAATGAATATGAAAGTCTCTATGAGGGTAGAAAGCAAGAATGTGAAAGTTCATGTTAATATAGTACAATTAACATTAAAAGTTAATAATATTATAGATCATTCCTTTTCTGTGCATAGTAAAAATTGTTATTTTTTGTACTGGCCCTACCGTTAATTAAAATATTATTTTCTCTGCTTATTAATTTCTGGGAGGCTAACTGATATTGCCTTCATACTTTATAAAGGGTCCTAGAAAAGCAATATTTGTCAGATGTTTCAGGCAAAATAGTAAAAAGGGAATAGCTATACATGTTGAAAAGAGCTATTGTCAATATATAATTTCTTCTACCAAGAAAATAATCCTTTCCCTCTAAAGAGCTATTAATTTTTAGAGCAATATTTCCACTATTCAGAAAGATTATGTGGGTAGTCTTTGTCCATGCCATGGAGCCTGGTCTGATCCGGCGTTTAGCCCCGCGCCTGGGCATCGCCGAGCCGGAGGTGCTGAGCTTCCTGCATGAAGTGCCCCTTGGACAGGGCTTATTTAATTAAACTTTCTGGTTTGAACAAGAAGATGTATCAGAGTTGTCTTAAATCTTTTGAGTGTTTACTGGGCCTGAATTCGAATATTGGAATAAGAGACCTAGCTGTACAGTTTAGCTGTACAGAAGCAGTGAACATGGCTTCAAAGATACTGCAAAGCTGTGAGTCCAGTCTTCCACAAACACAGCAAGTGGATCTTGACTTATCCAGGCCGCTTTTGACCACTGCTGCACTACTTTCAGCATGCAAGATTCTAAAGCTAAAGGTGGACAAAAATAAAATGGCAGCCACATCCGGTGTAAAAAAAGCCACGTTCGATCGACTCCGTAAACAGTTAGAGAAGATTGGGCAGCAGATCGACAGAGAGCCTGGAGATTCAGCTACTCCACCATGGAAGAAAAAGAAGACAGTGGTTGAACCTTCAGCAACGGAAATAGAGAATGTAGTAGAGATCCCACATAAACCGCAAAAAGATGAAGATCTGACACAGGATAATGAACAGTGGAAAAGGAAAATTTTGGAAAATGCTGCCAAAGCACTAAAGGCTACAACAGAGTGATTTCAGCTCCCAGACCACCTGTACTGCAAACCAGCAGTGCATCTGCCACCTCAAGGAAGATGTGAGGGCTTTGGAAATTTGTCTGAACTTTTATAACAAGGATCCTATCCTTAATAGCAAAGAAACCAGCATTGGGGCTGAGCAGGGTGGCTCTCACATGGGCAGCAAATTCGTTAGATTAGCCACAGTGCCTGGTTGGCTCAGCCTTGGCTCCGCACAGGTCTGCTCTCTCCTACAAAATGTCATTGAAGCTATTTTGCTTTCTTGTTTTGTTTTAAGCAAAAGACAGTCTCCTGTCCTATCCAGAATATGAAATTCAAGCTGAATGGAGTCTAAAGATTTTACTTAAGTTTTTGTGTTAACCTCTTGGTTTGACTAAATATATAGTACAACCTAAGTTAATAAATATTATTTTTATATGCAAAAAAAAGATTATGTAGAACGTGTTAAACCATTATTTATCTCTGCAAAATATTTCTAAGAGCATATGTGCATCTAGGCTAGGAAAGTATGCAAAAATCCCCTATCATTTTCACATCGAGCCACATGTATTGAACAAACACCACCTCACAGAGGAACATTACCACCAAAGCACTACACAGTAAGGAGGGAACTGAGAGATTTCTAAGAATATATGGGTGTAATTTTCTGTTAACCGAGAGTGACTGACAATTCGTGGAAATCTGCCTTCAAAATAACCTCTTTGCAGCACTCTTAGTTTTACTTGGTGGGAAGGAAACTGCTTGTTTCTTATCCATTTAGCTACCAGAAACTATTTTTCTTTGCCATCCTAATTGTCTAAATCCCTATGGATATATTATGCAAAATCCATGTTTATTTAATTTAATTTTTTTTTAATACCAGTGTTTTGTTTTGTTTTTCCTATTTGAGAGTTGGTTGAAATAAGATCATGTACAGAAGACTACAGTGTAGTCTACATCTAAAGTCATTATATGCACCTGGGGGATTTTAATAAAATCTGAGGTCCTAGAATTTTAAGATCATTTTCCAAAGGGATGAGTTTTATTTCATTTCATATGCATGGATAAAGAGAAACTAAATTGTGCTGCTAAAAATAGTAATTCCCAAATAAGAAAGAGGACTTAGAAGAAAAAGTCAAGCTGAATTTATTTTATCCACAGAACCTGCTTTAAGGGGGATTATGAAACTATCACTAAATAAAGGCTTTGACGGAGGAGGTAGAGAAGCACTTGAGGGACCCATCGGCCACTTTGGGATACATAGCACATGCGAAGTAAACTTCAGACTTCAGCTATTTGCTTTCTGTTGCCTCCCCGTTAAAATCTTTGTCCATGCCAATACTCTCAGTATGCTGCTCACTGAGGTGCCGCTGCTGGGAGCTAGAGGCTGGGAGTGGAATGGGTTGGAGAATGAGTTCTGCTTTTCTTAGACTTTACTGGGTTCCTGTACTTCCCTATTCCTCATCCTGTGCTTGGCTCTGAGTCCAGAGAGGGGATCTTCGTATCTGTGGATCGTGGTTCAGAGAAAGTCTTCGTTCTGAAAAACCTGGTTTGCTAAGCCAAATCAGTTTGCCGTGAAATTTTCGGAAGTTCATGTCCACACTTTAGATTTCCATCTGTTCTGCCAATGACGTTCTAGACCATTATTCCTGTATGTAATGGGTATAGAATGGGTGGTAGAAGAGAGGATTTTAGGTGGTAGTAGATAAATGTTTATTTTGACTGCTTGTACTTTAAAAAAAATTAATTTATTTATTTTGGGCTGTTTTGGTTCTTCGTTGCGGTGCATGGGCTTCTCATTGCGGTAGCTTCTCTTCTTGCAGAGCACGGGCTCTAGGCATGCGGGCTTCAGTAGTCGTGGCACACGGGCTCAATATTTGTGGCTCGTGGGCTCTAGAGCGCAAGCTCAGTAGTTGTGGCACATGGGCTTAGTTGCTCCGCAGCATGTGGGATCTTCGTGGACCAGGGGTCGAACCTGTGTCCGCTGCATTGGCAGGTGGATTCTTAACCACTGCGCCACCAGGGAAGCCCCTGATTGTTTGTTCTTTTAATGCATATAAAAATATTAGTTTTCCATTTATGACAGTGATGTAAAGTTTCTTCTTTAAACACATTTAAATGAAAAATATGAGCTATTGAAAGATATATTAATAAGAATTCTGGAGGAACTCAGGTATGGTAAAAAAAAAACACATGAAATTGGCATGTGAGGATTGGGAAGCACTTTACATACTCTAGGCCATCATCTTGCTTACGCTTAGGCCCATAAACTAGTCAGATTCTCTCAAAAGTCAGGATGTCCTTGGCATTTTGGCCTTTACCTTCTGAATGTCAGGCAATGATAAGGAAATACACCTCAGGAGATTCTAGGAGATCTTTGACGTAGACAATGGTGATAAATATGAAAGAAGGAGTCACAGGGCATGATGGAAATAGAGGAAAGGACACTGAAATTTAGCAGTTGGGATTTGGAAATGTTTACTGAAAGAAGAATCCTTTACTGGGATGAACAGGAGATAGCCAGGTAGAGAAGAAGAGGAAAGGAATGATGTATTCCAAGCTTATTTCTCAAACCACAACTCCCAGTTGTGAGCTTTTGGGCTTAGTCTGGAGGAGATGAGAAGAACCAGGCTCTCTGAAACTTCATTCCTGGCATTCAAGTGTATGTAGCTTGAGTTTTACTGCTTCCCCTGCAGAGGATGGAACAGGGTAATGGTCTCCTCTGTGATCGGTCCCACCCAAGGGGAGACAGGGCAACAGCAAAAGAGGTGAACCACCTAAGGGATCACCACTCACCTAAAATAAAGGTGCAGGAATGAGAAGGGATTTCTCCCTATATTTAATACATTCCAGAAATGTCCCATTTCGCTGTCTGAGAATGTCTTACAGCAGGGAAACTATGCATTCTTAAGGGGCTCTACTAAAACCCCTGCAATACTTGGAGGGGTGATGAGGGAGCAATGCTGGAGATCTTGCTCTTCTCAGCAGAGTTTGCACCTTTCCTTCTTAAGTCAGGCATGTTTGATAGAAAAGTGAACTACTGGCAGCCTCAGCTTGGAGAAAGAGGTTTGAGTTCCTTTTCAAACTTTTTCAGAATGACATAGAACAGGGATGTCTAATAGAAATATAACGTGAGCCACACAGATCATTATAAGTTTTTAATAAAGACATTATAAAAGTAAAAAGAAAGAGGTAAAATTAATTTTAATAATATAATTTGTTTAACTCAACATATCTAAAACATTTTAACATATAATAAATATATAAAATACTGAAATGTTTTGCATCTCCTTTCATGTACATATTTGCTCTCTGGGGCATATTTTCCACCTACATACAGCACATGTCAATTAGGATATTAAATTGTCCTTGAAAATAATATTTAGATTTCATAATATTGAAAAACTAAATTTATATATCCAAAATGCCTCAAACATGCTTAAAGTTTTCCAGTAACTGAATTAAATATTAGTTTAATATAAAATAATACTTATTTTTTCAATTAAGTTAAACAAAAATAAAATTTCAGTTTCTCAGTTCCACTAGCCATGTGTTGGTACACTATTGCACTTGAGGCTAGTGGCAACTGTATTTGGATCATAGGGTAGAAGAAAAAATCAAAATAAATTTTTGGGGTCACTTTTACTTCCTTTACTTCTGTAATGATTACTAAGGTAGGAATTTCATAGCAAGCTGGGTAATGAAAGCACATTGGACAAAGGCTCGGAAAGCCTTGTTCTAGACCAGGCTCCATCATTGATCATGCTCTCCTGTAATTTGAGGAGAATGATACCTGCTTCTCAGCCTTGTTGATTTTTGCAGAAGATGCTTTGGAGATCCAATAATGTCCTAAATGACAAATTTCCGGGGTTTGAATTGTCCTCAGGTATCTCAACCAATGGTTCTCAAATGCTTGTCCACAGACCAAGTGTTTTTTCCCCACATGATTTTCCTCCATATTTTTAAGCTTTTTATTTTCATCAAAACCTTTCTTAAATGAATTTACCAACTCCAATTCCTTCAACAATTTTTCCCCCAGGTCAGGGTTTTAATTTCACTATCATGGTTTTTCTCAAGTGAACATGTTCTTGTTTGTCTCTATTTTTCTTAATTGCAATATCTTGAACTGAATGCTCTTAAGATAAGACTTGACCAGCGTAAGGTAGAGTAGGGCAATCATCTTCCTGATCCAGATACAATGCTTCTATTAATGCAGTCTTCAGCTTTTGTAGTTACTTGCTTTTCAATTTTTTTTTCTTTTTTGGTAGCCATAGTCAATTGACTCATATCAAGCTTATCAGTAACTGAAACCCCTGTCTTCCCTCTTCCTGTACTTGTTTGATTAATTTTGTGGCACTTTCTGAAATTCCTCTTTTGAAAAAAAACCAAAACCAAAACCAAAAAACCCAACAGTTGATCTTGCGTCTACACTTGCCTCTATGTTTTCTTACCTATCCAACATTTTAAGCCATATTGTGTTCAATTTGAACAGGGGGTGTAAAGGGGCTTGAGAAGTCTTAGGGAAGTGTCTCTCAGACTTTAACAAACACGTATCTATACTGGGGATCTTGTTAAAATGCTAATTCTGATTCAGGAGATCTGGGGCAGGGTCCAAGATCTTACATTTCTAACAAGCTCCCATGGATTACATTTTGTACCAGAAAATCTTGGAGTATCTGAAGGGTTTTCTTACAACTAACCTTCCTTCCATATTTTCTTCATTATCAGATGAATGTGCATTTTCTTACTGTAAACCAGCTCTGAGATCCTTTAAAATCTTAGCTGGGGCTTATGTATGCAGAGTTCTGAGATTCTCAGTTCTTTAAGGGAAGGAGCCATGTATACTCTTCTTTTGGGTTACCTCATAGTCTGGTAAAATAAGAGTGTTAATAAATGGTGCTGATTTTTACTGAGTTTGTTTGGCTCCCGGGTGAGAGCTGGAAAAGGCCACAATCATGCAAACCTTACTGAGGAGGCAGGGGCAACTAACACCAATGTGGTTGTCAATCTCTGCAAAAT